TGTTTTTATCCTTCACGACAATAATGATGTTTGTTTGTATCTATCATTTATTCAAAAGTTCTAGTTGAATTTTTAACTGTTTTCTTGTATAATCATTTTTATTCTTAAGGGACTATAGTTTACGTACTTCCATGATTTTAGAGGAAAAAATATCTGACTTATATAAATATTTTACTCGGCTTTTGTATACTTATTTTTTTTGGAACTTTTGAAATATTTACACTCTATTCAATAAATTTAGTTACTAATATTAGTTTAAAATGAAATATGTACTACATAAATAAAACTACGTTAAATTTTTTATTTATTTTATATTACAATGTTTTTCATTTTCAGATTACTATCCATTTAGTTAAGAAATTGAAATTTTAGTGCGATAGATTAACCAAAACTGTTGAATTATTTGAATGAATTACAAAAGTACCATCACTATATCTTATTTTTGTGAAATATATATTAAATGAAAAAAATATATATGTTTATCTGAAATTTTGTATGGTACAAATCCTAGATAAAAACGCAGCAACAAATACGAAATACAATCATTGAATATATAAATAAAATTCTTGTAATCACACACATATACATATCCGAGTCATAATAATGCTGAAAACCGACATCAAAAACATGTTATCCTTGCCATGCCATCTTGAAACAACGAAACGAAGTTAGTCTTAAACGATAACAGACAAGAAGGGAAATCTTCCCATTCGGGACGATGAATATAAGCAAAAAGTAGAAGATGTTTAAGCCGAAAGATAAAAAGGTTGGGTGCTTCATTATTGTGATGGGAGGAGACAAAGGTACTTGTGAGAGTTGTAAATGAGATGAGATAAATTATGAACAATTTGAGGTTGTTTAGTTAAAGTTTGGTTAATTCTCAAATCAAACGACTCAATTCTAGTTTAGATTCAATTCAAATTTTTAACAAGCCGAAACGAACTACTTCATATTAAACTCGAAAAGCTTGCAAGTAATTCAAAAAATAATATATTAAATTTTTAACTTTTTTAAATTAAATTATTAATAATATTAACATTTATATATTTTTTAAAATATAATATAAGGACTTTATGTACTTAAGGTTCATGTTCAAACCCGAGTTTGAGCTTTAATTGAGCTAAACATGAGAATATTTCGAGTTCAAAAATTTTTAAGCTCGAATTGAACTTCAACTTTTGATTTCGAGTTGAGTTTAACAATTTTAAACTTGCAAGCTTTTAAGTGGATTCAAGTTTCAATTTTTTATTACAAATTTGAGGCAAATATGACAATTTTAAGTTCATAAATTTTTAAATCTAATTAAACTAAATTTTATATTTTTTTAACTAAATCAAATTTAACAATATTTAAACTCAACTTAACTCAACTCAATTACCGCCATAATACCCCCGTCCTATCCCTTCAATCATGGTTTTTCTCAACCGTAAGGGATACCCCACATATCACATTATATAAAAATATTAGCCGAAGTATAAAGGGTCATATTCACTATCTATTAGCCTAAGGATAAAGGGTCCCCTACAATATAATATATAATTTTTGAGAATTAAAGGAAGTGTAAAATTCCAGCGTTGGATAAGATGTCAGTCTAACTTTTTCACAAAGACAATAAAAATATCGAAAAAATACATTTAAATTCAGATTAGGTTTATAAATAAATAAATATGATCAGATATAACTAAAAATTTATGTCAGCCCCTAAATAAAATATTACCCAATTTTATTTTCAAAATTTAAGTTACATTGTGTTTGGGTATTTTTTTTAATAATTGTGGCTTAATATAAAAGAATATTTAAATTACACCATTTTTTCATTAAGGTGTTTATTTTTTTGGATAATTCAGATGTCTAATATTATAAATATTATCATTCTAAATGCATAAACTATAATAACTATTTAAAAATTCTGTTAATTAACATGTGTCACATTCAAATACTTTTAAAATTTTTATTTTAAAAAGAAACTTAAAAATATTCTTATATTTCAAAATATCCTAATTTCTCTAAAATTATTAAAAAAAATTAAATCCCTAAAATTTCTAATCCTAACCTTACAATCTCCCATGTCGGCCACAGCTGCCATCACTGTTGCTGCCCTCGTCATCTGTCTTGTTTGTTGCCGTCATTTTTATTGTCAATCGTGTCGTTAAGTCGCGAGGGTCATGATTTTTCAAGATTTTTTTTTAAACGTTGGGTCGCGTGGATGAAGTCGGTTTTTGGGTTCTGGGTTGTCAGGGTCTTATCTTCCGATGGATATTCGGTCGGATGGAAGTTCAGCCGACGGAAGCGACGGCAAATGACAACAGGCGACGTGAGTATAGGGATTAAAAATAGAATTTTCAAAGTTGTGAGTTTTTTTATGATTTGAGAAAGTTTTTGAGTTTTTTTAATATAATTTTAAGTTTTTTTAAAAAATAAAACTTTTAAAATTACTTGAATACGACATGTGTCCCTTAACATAATTTTTTAAAAACGAGTACGATTGAGTACTTAAAATAATAATATTTGTAACATTAGACACTTAGATTGATCGAAAAAAATTTAAGCACCTAAATGGACAAAATTAACATAATTTAGGCATTTTTATAGTGATAAATTATTTTTTATATTATATAAATATATATTTTTAATATAGTTATTAATATTTAGTTTATTAACAATTAATTTGTATATATAAATATATTTTGAAAGTTTGTATATATAAATATTATTTTAGTTGTTTCGGCGTACTTTCACATGTTAAACTTCAGTATTCAATTTGCCTTTGTTCCCATCACCTAAGTAGACTAGTTATGGACGCCATTCAGGAAAAAAAAACAACTGCTTTTGGGACCTAATAAGTAAAATAAATTCGAATAGATATAAAATTGGGTAATTTGTCAAAATAGTAACTTTTTGTTATTAAATTTTAAAAATAATATTTTGGTCATTTATATTATTTATTTTATTTATTAAGACGTTGAATGTCATGATGATGTTTTACGATAATAAAAGGATTTAATTTTTATGTTGACTTCTGAACTTTAGATAAAATAATAAATTTCTTTTTAACCTCTTGGACGTCAATCTAATGTGTGTGTCACCGAAAAAATCCCTCAAATAAATAAACCTAACCTATAATATTTTGATTTCCTTTGAAATTAAATTATAATAATAAATTCATCATTAATATTTCTTTAAATATAAAGCTACTAAAAATCAAAGTCTATATCATAATAAAATCTATCATTTCTTAATAACTTTATTATTTCATAATTTTTTTATGATTATAATATTAATTATAATTTTTAATCTGTGTTATAAATATTAGCAATTACACAGAGCTCCTCATTCAGTGCAACGTCAATCTCTGAAGTGACGATTCTCAAGACGTTTGCAAACACAATGGATTCCTTCATGTGCCTTAAAAAAAGAATAAAGAATAAAGGGATAAGGTTTATAAATATGGTGTGAGATTAGGTAAAATTCAAGTTTAAGAGATCAAAAAACGAATGAACTAAAATTTTAGAATTCAACCCTCGGTGATGACTAGCAGTGATTGATGATAGTGGTGAGTAACGGTCGAGAATAAGAAATTTCGATCAGATCAGAAGTTAAAATATATTTTATCTAAAGTTTAAAGATTAAATTACTATTTTATCTAAAGTTTAAAATTTAAATTAGTATTTTATATAAAGTTTAAAAGTTAAATTTAAAATTACTCTCTTTTACTAATAAGTCACGTCATCAAATTAATGGTATTTAACATCTCAATGACTAAAATATTATAAATTAATAATGTAAGTGGTCAAAATATTATATTTTCAATATTTGGTGACAAAAAATGAACACTTATAAAATAAAAGTGACTATTTAAATAATTTACCCTATAAAATAAGATATAGATCCCGACAAATCCTGGGAGAGATTGACTAACATGTCAAACACTGCAGGTAAAAAGATAGGATATTAGATACATAACTAGTTGAAGTCAAGGACCAAATTGTTTAACTAGTAAATATAGAATTAAAAAGTATTTGAATAAAAAATAAATATTAATCTATTTAATATTAAAATTGATATGATTTTAAAAATAACTAAATTGTTTTTATAATTAATTAATTATAAAATATTGAAACAGAGGATTATAATGAGAAGAAATCTTAATTGATTTATGTAGTTACTTTTATAATTAATTAATTAAATTTTTGAATAAAGATGAAAACATTGGATTATAATGGCAAAAAAATCTTTTAAACGGTGTGGGGGTGATACCTTATCTATGATTGTAAATGAGATAAATAGATTTTGAGTATTGTTGAACTCGATTCTACTCGAAAAGTATAAAATTGAACTCGACTCGACTAAAAAATTCTTGAGCTTAAAATTTTTACGTTCAACTCGAAATCAAATTTTGAAACTTGACTCGAGTTCGAAAAAAAATCGAACTCGATAGACTCTCAAACTTAGATCAATTGAAGCTCAAACTCGAACTCTAACATGAATTTTAAGTACATAAAACATTATATATATATATATATTAAAAGAATAGCATATAAATATTAATAATAATAATAATTTAATTTAAAATTTTAAAACTTAATATATTATTTTTTTCAAATTATTTGTGAACTTTTCGAGTCGAATATCAAATAATTCCTTTCAACTTTCAACTTGTTAAGAATTCGATTTGTGTTTAAACTTGAATTGAGAACTGATCAAACTTTAACTAAATCAATCTCAAATAACTTAATATTTATCCGATCTCATTTATAACCATAACTTAGACATTAAAGCAATATATCCTTGAGTTTTGTCTTATGACAATTGTCTTTCTCCCACATCTCCCTTTCATAGCTTTAAAAACCCAATCTTCCTTTGTGTTTCTGGTATTGTCCAGTCCCAAACTGACAGGTATGTCTTGTCTTCCCCCATTTAATAACCTACCTATCCCCGTTTCACATGCACTCTTTCAACTTTTAAAACCATTTTCATTTCTCAGCTCAACAACACTGTTCCAATGGCGACTACTGAGTCATCTAAGCCTGCAGCAAAGCAACTTGGTGAACTCCTCAAACAACAACAATATCCATTCGTCTTACAGATTTACCTTTCCGAAAGAGGGTGTTTCAGGAACAAGAAGAAGAAGGGTATTTCGAATTTCCCTAAACTACTTAAACTTGTGATATGTAACAAGTTATTTGCAATCAAAAGGTTGAAGACCAAGATTCCTGAGATGAAGAGAAATGAGCAAGAAACTGCAGAACCAGATAGATTTTCGACAGTGTATAATTCATGCACAGATAGTGACAGAGATGAACCATTGATGATAACGAAGGTAGAAAAACCTTTTATAGTTTTATCTTTCATGTTTTGCAAAATGACAAGAGCTTTGATATTTTTGCTACAGATTCCAAGTTCCAATGGAGTTCAATGGCAGAAAAGCTTGTTCTTGAGTAAGCTGATAATGGGGGACTCGATATTGTCAGCTTCTCTTTGGAATTTACTTGTTCAAACCACACCAGACAAACAAAGTTGTGTAAGAATATTACAGGAGGCCGATGAGTCTAATTCTTCACCATTAAGGGTTTTGCAGCAAGCAAAGAAACTCAATGAAGTGAAAATGGAATTGGTGGAATCAGATGTAATGGGTTCAACCCAGGATTGGAATGGTTATGAAGAGCAGAAGAAGAGTATAGGGCTAGTGATTGGAAACGCCATTGCAGAGGAGATTATAAATGAAGCTGTAAAGGAGATTATCTTCATGTTTCATAGCTAAGATGTAGTTTGCTTGTTTCAATCATACATGACGATTGTTCCTGTCTTAGTTCAGATTGATTTTCGTGATAGTTTTTGTCAAATGGAAGATGTGTTCTCTTTGGTTTTATCCGGTGTTCACATAAATTTGTCTAATTGATAATAACGAAACCATGTTGTGTACCCCTCCCCCAAAATTTCTATTTTCTCTTAGAATTTTAATGAAAAATTATAAAATTATAAATGCAATATGGGTTGGCTTAAATTGGACCACAAAACACTTGTTTTCAACTTAAGCCCACTTGTTTTTTTCTTTTTAATTAATCACCGATGTTTGATCTATTGACCGACTAATCCAGATCGGGTACTGCAAAGGCAAGAGCGATCCTCCCAACCCAGTTTGTTTCATTCACAAACGTCAGGATAAAAACCCATGACCTGATTTTGTTCTTTTAAACTCAATTTTATTATTTTTATAACTCAATTTAATATTATTTAAAAAATAAAATATAATTAAAAAATCATTAAAATTACATGCAAATATGGTGTCTTAAAAAGGTGAGTACATTACCAGTAGTGTTGGTTCAAGTGGTAAGCAACTTATTATTACTTAAGCAATATCTCGAGTTCGAGTTCTTTTGAATGCAAAAAATCTTTGTTTGGAGACTCACCTAACAAAACCAAGTGTACGATGCGAGTTAGTCTGGATTAGTCAAGGTTAAGCCTTAGAACCAGGAGGATAAAAAAATGAGGACAGTAATCCTACATCGAAAAAGAAAATAGAGGTTAAAGAGTTTAAAAACGGCGATGTTGCACATCCTATCACAAATTTCTTTTGGGAGTATGTAGGGATGGCAAAAAAACTCGAACCCGACGGGGAAAACCGAAAACCGAATTAAACGGGTCGGATTCGGGGATGATAAATAGGGACGGGGATGGGGAAAACCCATTTATTTTAAACGGGGACGGGGACGGGTTTGGTAATCCCCGCCCCGATTACCAGATTACCTGCCCCGATACCCGACCCAATAAATATTAAAATTAATTATTTATATATATATATATATAATATTAATAAATTTAATTTAAATAAAAAATATATATTTATATATTTAATTTATATATATATATATATATATATATATATATATATATATACCCGGCCCAATACCCGTTTATGCTAAACGGGGATACCCGTTTCCCCGCGATTTTTCCCGATTACCCGACGGGGATCCCCATTTAAATCCTCGCGGTTTTTTAAACAGGGACGGGTACCGATTTTTTAAACGGGGACGGAAACGGGGGGACCAATACCCGGCCCGAACCCGGCCCGTTGCCATCCCTAGGAGTATGGTAGTGGCTTCGTGAAAGGTGCTCTTGTAGTGACTTTTTAAATGTTTGATTTCATATAGATCATCTCAGTGGGTGGAGTAGGTAGGGTGGACAACAGTGACGATGACCCGTAACGAGGACGTTATGAGATTGAGCGAGGAAGAATATCACGCTTTGGAGTGGTGGGGATACTAATCCCATGTCGAAATGGAAAAGAGAGATCTCATAGTTTAAAAATAATGACGATGCAATATGTTGAACCATATTTTATAATATTTTAATATAACAAATTAAGGTAAAATATTTTTGGACTTTATTGAATTTGTTCAAAGTTTTCAAAAATAATTTAAGTCCATTAAACTCAGATTTGAACACAAAACAATTTTTTGAGTTAGTATCGATATTGTTCTTACAATATCGATACTACATGAATAATATCGATATTATTCATGTGGTACCGATATTAAAGATAAAAGAAGTATCGATACTCTCTTGGTAGTATCGATACTACTTGTTGTTTTCCAAAATGTTCAAATTTCAGAATTCAAAATTGGTATCGATACTACTTTACACAGTGTTATCGATACCATAAAACCCTAGTTTAACTACTAGTTTATTTAAATATTACAAAGGTAATACCGATACTCCTAGCACAAGATCGGTATTCCTTGTTTTGAGCATTTTTACTTTTGCATAAAATTAATTTCCAACGGCTAGAAACGACCACAAACTTATTCCAACATATAAAAACAAGTTGAGGACACTTGAAGAAAATTACAACATCTAAACAAGCAATAGAAGTCAAGAGAAAAGCTCTTTCAATCTTATTTTACCTCTTTCTCTTGTTCATAGTATTTTGAGCTTAATTGTAAATCTTTAAGAATTTTTCTTGTGAGCTAAAATCTTGTAAACATCTATCTTGTGAAGTTTATTTGTTTACTTCTTTTTTCCTTTTGTAAAAAAGGGAATGATACTATTTTAGCCTTTGAAAATATAGATATTTGTAAAGTTTACTCTTAAGCTTAGAAAAAAAAGAATAAATTAGTGAATTTGTTAGAAAATCCTTATTGTGGAGCTAAGGTAGTAGATGTATATTTGGTTTAGAAGTCGAACCACTATAAATTATTGTACAGATTTTTCTATCATTTCTCCTCCATATCCAAAATTTTCAAATGGCCAGTTCACTCTCTCTTGGCAACTTTTTCAGTTGAAATTTGAGCTTCAACAATCCTATTAGGTTGTCTTTTGGGAAGAGAATAATGACAACATAATAAGTGATTTTAGAGTGATCTTTAATTATTTGATTTTGTTGGTAAAATGTGTGAGTTGATTCTTTAAAATTCGAATATTAATAGGATAATATTCTATTATTTAAGATTTATATTCTATTAAAATTATGAATTTATATTCGATTGAAATATGAATATTTTATTCATAAATTTATATTTGATTAAGTACAACTATATTATTTATGAATTTATATTTAATTAAAATACAAATATCGTAGTTCCGGAAGGTTGTTTTTCCTTTGCGAATCCCTATAAATACTGTACTAACCTGCTATGCTAAACACAAGTTTTTAGATCTCAAAAATTCAAAAGTAGAAAAGTTTTTCTTCACTAGTTTTCCGATGATAGATGAAGGTAATCAATAGTTCGTGATCTCTACAATTGTGCTACTGTAGTTAATCATCTAGTTGTTGTATTCTGGGTGTAGCGACAGATTCAACTATTTCCGATCGATTGATATATCAGATAAAGTATTTTTCTTTCTATTTATTTTATTTTAATTTTTAAGAAGTTTAATATAGTTTGTTTTATTTTCTCATGTATGATTATGGTCTCGGATTGTTATATTCTAATAACTTTAAAAGAGATAATAAACTTGTTATTTATTATTAATATGTATAATGATATTTAAATATTATTATCATTATTTTTATTATATTATTTTCAGATTTAACGAATTTGTTTAATAAATTTCAATTTTAACGCTACATAGAGGAAATTGACAAAATAGACAATTGTTATAATAATTTTTGATCAACATAAAATTAAATGAGAAAAATATCCTACATTAATTCCATGTAGGTTGACACGAATTTTTTTAATCTTGTTAGAAACAAAAACCAAAATAGGTGACGGTATAAAACGTTGACGGTCGCTTTAAGAAAAAAAACATAAAGGGTCAAAATGAAATTTTGAGAATAATATAGGGGTCAAATTGCTGTTTAAGCCTTTCGAAAACTACTCCTCTTAGGGTTTATTTGATAGCTAACTCCTTTTTAGCTGCAAAGTAGAAATAAACTTCTGATTCCGACGATTTCTGTTTCTCTCCTGATGATTTCAAATCCATTTTCTTAATATCTAAATCCAATTGTTTGCTTTCAGTTTCTTCTACTCCCTTTTCAAACCGGCTCAACATGACAGGACCCGGAGAAAGCCGGAACATGATCAATCAACTAGCGTCTTGCGAAAACTCGACCCGAGACCGAGCCGTACGGTCACTCCTCAACTCTTGGCTTCCTTCGCGAGCCGAAGTCTCCGATGAAGAGATGAAGAGGATCTGGAAAGGTCTCTTTTTCTGCGTTTGGCACGCAGACAAGCTGCCAATTCAGTCCGACCTCATCGAAAAGCTTTCTTCGGTTCTCCCGAAGCTCGAACCGGGTTTATCTTTGCAATATTTCTCAGTTTTTCTTCTTACGATGCGTCGTGAGTGGACTGGAATTGATAAGCTAAGGTTAGATAAGTTTTACCTCTTAATTCGTAGGTTTTTTAATTCATTTTTTGCCACGTTGAAGAGATGGAAGTGGGATTTGGATTTTACGCGTCGTTGGATTAGGGTTTTAGTGGATGAAACATTTTTAGCTGATGACGAGTTTCAAGGGAATGGCGTTCATTATCACATCGCTTCGGTTTTTATTGAGGAACTGAGGCCCTTCCTTCCTGTTGAAAACGAGGTTCTTGAGATTTTGTTGGACCCATTTGTTGGAATCATGGGTAAAGTGAGTGATAAAGTTTTGGTTGGGAAGATTAAAAGCAACGTGTTTGACGTTTTTGTTAAAATGGGTAGGAGATTGTTGGAACTTAAGTGGCCTGTTGACGAGTTTGATGAAAGCGATGAAGTGGTTGTGTTGGGGATGATTAGTTCTGTGATGAGATTCTCTACAAAGTTTTATGAATTGAGTTCTTCAGGGGATTGCTGCCAGGGTAATAGAAAAGTTCTGTTAGGATTACATGAGGAATTTTCGAAGTTGGAGAATGATTTGGTGTCATCGGGTATTAATATTTCGATTCCTGAGTGTAAGGAAAGGGATGAAGAAGTTGGGTTGCCTGAATTGATACCTATTGCTAGTGAGATGGAAGTGGATAGCTCCAATGGTGCTTCGGAGCCTGTCAAATTTCATGTTAATGGTTCTGTCAAGAAAAGTTTAAAGAAGAGCAAGAAGGTGAAGACTAAGAAAAACAAGGATTTTGAATGTAGCTCCGGTGGTCAGGAGAATGATGTTATGATACCTGCAGAAAGTTCCGGTTCTAATAATGAGCAGAACGGTGATGGGGATTCAATAACATTTACTGAACCAGTGATTGCAAACCTTCAGCTCCAGTTTGAGAAGGTTGCTGCTGAAGTAGGCTTGGATGGTGATGTTGCAAGTGTCTCTGATTTGCCGAAAGTTAATGGTGGTGCCTTCTCCAAGAAGAGAAAGAGAGAAAGAAATATGGATGGCGAAAAATCTCAGAATGGGGAGCAAACCAATCAAGATGATGGTGAAGTTGATGAAACTGCAAGATCTTGTGAGAATAGTTCGAAGAGGGTAAGATTTTCAATGAACAACAACTTGGTTTGGAAGCCACACAGCCCTTTACCGCCATTAAGCTTGAGAATACCACCTTCTGTTACTCCGAGAGGAAGTGCGCTTAAGAAAGGAATACCTCCAGGTCCTATAAGGGAAATGCCTCTTATGACAAAGAAGGTAAAGAAAGCTAAATCTGTGAAGAAGGTCCGGAAAGTAAAAAAGAACATGCACCCTATAGTCAAACGCACGAAGAAGTTGAAATCTAAGTCCTCCTAGTGAAGTCTGCTTTATCATTTTGTTCTTTCAGGGAAAAAATATTACATGCTCGGTCATGAAGAACGTAATTGTCGTCTAGTTTGTTTTTGCAGTTTACACTTTTCAACACATATATAGTTTTTTTGGCTTTGAACACCGAAGTAGATTGTGATAAGAAGCTAACTTTTCATCACATAGGGCGTATGCATTCTCACTGATACAGATGTGGTGGCAATTGTTGGGAATTTATGATTTGTTCACCATTTGGTCCTTTTCTATATATTTGTAATATTTCCTTTATTTCCGAGTCATCATATTCACACTGTTTTCCCTATTGGCTTTCCACTGCTGCATCTTTGGGGTTATTTCCCTGGTGTGACTCATCATCTCTCTCACGAGATTAAATGTCCTTCCGACACTAGGATTCAGTTAGGAAATGAATGTAGCATCTGCTCTTCTGAACAGTAGTTCCTTTAAGGGTAAACTACACATTTAGATCCTGAACTAAATTTTAGATATGATTTTGGAAAAAAATAAAGTTTAGTTAAAAGATGGAATAAAAGTAATAGTTTAGGTACTAAACGTGTAGTTTACCCTTTCTTTGAAGTTGTGATTTTGTTTTTCACTATAAGTTGTCATTATGTGTGATTAAAAGCTTTCATAAGTTGAATGATTTAAACATCTTGGTATTGTGGTTGAACCTGTCTGTATTCCTCTTAATACGAAAGTGAAACTAAATATGATATGGAGCGCTAAAATATAAAATTATCGTTTTCAAATAAAATTTAAAATGGAAGACTAAAAAAATATTATTTTTATTTCGACTTTTAATTGTTGTTCAAAGTTGTATAATCCACATTATCTCACTGGTTAAAGTGATATACTATAAGAGTGAACTTTTATTATCAAATGTGAATCTTTAGAATAAATATTTTATTATAATTACCTTTGATTAATAAAAAGAATCAATTTGAAGTTTATTAATACATTATTTAGAATACTAAAATCACGTGTACCGCATTTGGTTTAAAACCTTGAACAAATAACAATTTTATAAGAAAATATAACCATAGCATTATCTCTGCTAAAAGGTATTGTCTCAGGAAAGGCGGGCTAATATACGGCGTTACCGGATACATTATAATATATTTAACAAATTCGGTTTAGCGTTACCGGAAATATCGAGTAATAACAATGTTGTAGGTGGAAATCATGAAGAAAATATTAAAAAATTTGGCAACCGGTAAACTTAGTTTGTTGGTTTGTGTCGATACAAATGAAAAATATATCGCTCCATAACAATATAACATGTAAAAATATGATAAAACCGGTAAATCACTACTGGATATATCGAAAGTATTGATTAGATTTAAATAAGTATCGACACTTTTGGAATTTAAAAGAGAAGAAGTAATAGCGCCTATACAGTGTCGATACTTTATAAAAATGTATCGATCCATAACAATATAACAGGTATAAGTATGACAAAACCGGTCACGAAATGATAAAACCGGTAAAGAGCTACCGGATATATTGAAAGTGTCGATACGTTAATATAAGTATCGACACTTTTTGAATTTAAAAGAGAAGAAGTTATAGCGCGTATAAAGTGTAGATACTTTATACAAATGTATCGATCCATAGCAATATAACAAGTAAGAATATGACAAAACCGGTATCGAAATAACAAAACCGGTAAAACGCTACCGGTTATGTTGAAAGTGTCGGTACTTTAATAAGTACGCGTAAAAAAGTATCGACAATTTCAAAGAAATAGGTAAATATCCTATCGAAAGTATTGACACTTCACATAAAAGTATCGACACTTATATAATTGTATCGATTAAATATAAATAACATATCTGGTGTAAATATAAAGGCATAGCTAAATTTCCTCTGAAAATAGATAGAGTTTTTGAAATCGATAATTATTATGTAACAAGTAAATTTACAATGTAACCGGTTAAAATATACCGATTAATTAGTAAATAGGTTTACATTATGCATCGACACTCTTTAAATATGTGTCGATATTTTTTTCGAAAATAAAGCACAAACTAGTTGCACGCATAAAGTGTCGATACATTTAAAATTGTATCGATCCAGAAAACATCGAAACTAATATTTATAATGTAATAGGTCAATTTATAATGTAATCGGTTTAAATTTACCGGTTTTATGAGAAAATAGGTCAATATAAGCGCTACCTATTACATTATATAAGCGCTACCTAATTTGTTATTGTACTTGATAATATTTCCGGTTAAATGCCTATTTTATTATATAAGCGCTACCTATTACATTATATAAGCGCTACCTAATATGTTATTGTGCTTGATAATATTTCCGGTTAAATAATATAACATAACCGGTCTAAATTTTAACCGATCATTTGTTTAAACGGTCACACCATTTTTTAGCCAATTTTTAGACGCCGCACAGCAGAACTTCCCTGCTAAAGATAACTTTGCGGATCAGAGAGTTTCAAAAATGTTTTGTAAAAAATTTAAATTGACACATTGATGAGATAAATTTATCATTATTTTATATAGTTAAAAAATATTGAAAAATAATTATTCAGACATCAACGTAATTAAAGATGAAACTTTAAGAATTTCATCATTAAAAGATAAAAGAAATAAATAAAAAATGACGTGGCCAGTAAGTGACATTCATATTAACTTATTAACAATGGCACTACATATCAGCATAACACTGACCACATCGTCTTAATATTTTTTATTTAGCGTTCGAGCGACTAAAAAAATAATTCAAAAGTTTAATAATTATATTAAATATTTAAAGCTTAGTGATAAAAATAGAATATAGTCAAAATTTAGTAATGAGAAGTTATAGTTTACCCAAATAATAATCATAAAGATTAAAGACGGTGAAAAATAATGGGTAAAGTACAAAAGTAATTACTAATTTATTTTGAAATGATCTTTCTAATCACTAAAGTTTTTTAAATTATAAAATAATCATTAAACTTTTCAAACGCTTATATAAAAAACCATTTAATTTTATTAAACTATTATAAAATGACATTAAACTTAACCAACTATTACAAACTATCCTTAAACTTATTAAAATTTATTACAATTTTATAAAAGCGACCATTCAATAATAATTCAATAAATTTAATGATCATCATATAATTTCTCAAACTTTAATGGTAAAACAATAATTTTAATATAAATGAATGACTATTCTGTATACTTTACCCTAAAGAAATTTACTTGTACAATAACCAACAAGGCAGCAGATTCACTGCCCTTAATAAGGCCCAATTTATTAGCCCAGAAATTTTAAATAATTCCCACTCTCATTTTTAACCCTTTCTTCTTCGAAACAAATTTCACGCCTTTTCACCAGTTTCATTACTCGTTCCAGACAAGCTTTTGCTGCTGCATTTTTTAGTTTTTTTGTTTATTTATTTACAATTCTGGGGTCCTACTCCAATTGGGAATTTCGGGCCACAACTGTGTTTGGGAGTTCTAGCGTTTCCATTCGCTTTATTTTTCCGTGGTAGAGTTATATTTTTAGGGTTAGGGTTTCTACTGCTCTCATTGCAATAAGGGTTTTTCCTTTGCAAAAAAGTAATGTAATTCGTGCTTTGTTGCATTTGGGAAATTTTATCATTTGTTATTTGTTTCAGTATCTAGGGATTTGGGAACTAGGGTTTTAGCCTAGCATGGAATCTGATAAAAGCAAACTGTTTGTGGGAGGGATATCTCGGGAGACAAGTGGAGCAATTCTCATGGATCATTTCGGCAAATACGCACCGTATTGAGCTCAGTTGTAGCTATAGACAGAAACACCAAAAGCCCTCGTAGATTTGCCTTTATTTTGTTCTCTGAATCGGCCTCAGCTGATAAAGCTCTTCAAGACACCCATGTTACCTAGGGAGAACGGTCAGTTCCAAGCTCTCTTGAATCTCTCGGTCATTTTATATCCTATTTCTCACTGTTAGACATTGTTGAAATGTACTTAGAATGAGGTGCAAGGTTTTAAATTTGTTTGTGGAAATGATAGCTTGCAGGCATTTTAGGTTGTTTAATGTATATGATTTATGAATGGGTTTTCTAGGTAGAAGTGAAAAAAGCGATACCCCGAAGTGATCAACTCCAGAACCAACAACAGCAGCAGCAACCACGCCACTATTCAAATCAACAACAGAATAGTGAGTTATGTATGAATGGTAATGCTGCTGCTGACAGTAACAGTAACTTTAGGACTAAGAAACTTTTTGTAGGGGGTTATCTGCTACTCTAACTGAGGAAGAGTTTAGGAATTACTTCGAAAGATTTGGTAGGATAACAGACGTTGTTGTGATGCATGACAGCTTGTCTAACCGGCCTAGGGGATTTGGGCTTGTTACTTTTGACTCGGAGCTGTCTGTGGAGAATGTTATGCAGAAGAATTTCCATGAGTTGAATAAGAGGCTCGTGGAAGTCAAGCGTGCAGTGCCGAAAGAGGGAAGTAATGGTCGTTACAGTAATCAAAACATGATTAAGCCTGGTGTTGTGAGGGGATCTCCTTATAACGGTTTTCAGGCTGTTGAGTTCGCTTCGAATGGTTCTGGATATGGAATGTTTCCTGGCTATACTCCTCTTCCTGCACATAATCCGGTTGGGGATTATTTATATGGTACAAGTGTTTATGGCTCTGGGTACCCTATGGTAGGCTACAGTAGGGTTGGTTATGGTGTCACTCCAGCTACTCCTAGAGGTCCTTTATATCCCCCTGTAATGCTCGGACCTAGAGTTTACCCGCTGCCTTACAGCAGTCCATCCGTCTATCCTGCTTATATGAACAGCGGGGTCGGTCTCGTGGGTGCAGCAGCAGGTGGGTTCAATGGGTTTATGGGAACCGGAGTTGATGGGAAATGGAATGGTGATCAGCCTACAAATGACATTCAACCTCAGATTGAAGCAGTAAACGTCCGTACTGATTGTTCTGGTTTAAAAGAGCATAGCGTTGGTGCTGCTGCCGAACAGGATCAGAAAAGTGTTGATGGAAAACTTAAGCCTTCAAGTGTAGAAGTTTCTAGATGATTG